CCGAGTGCAAGCGCAGTTCGGGGGGGGGGGGGGGGGGGGGCTAAGGAGCTTTTGTTTACCCCTCCCCAACAAAAACATCCATAAAAAATGGCAGTAGCGAATGTTAGAAGGTGACGGTCTCTCCCCCTAAAAAGATATAGTCGTGAGAAGGGGGCGGTTGTGCAGTACAAGGTAATAACGTAGAATGGATTTTATTAGCAGTCCCCATTGAAAATATGGTACAAGCCCCACCCCCCCCACCCCACACACACACCTATTGATTTTCGGAGGCCTAAGTGTCCGGAGAAAAAAGGTCTACATTGAAGCACGCCTCCCTACTAGCACCCCCTCCTAAAATATAGGATCTAGAACCGCGCCTGGTCGAGTAATGTCTAGCACCCCCTCTGGTGAGTTCTCCCTTCGCTTCTGTTGAGTGCTTTGCCCCCCTCCCCACTACCCCTGTAGAAACAATCCTGGCTACGCCCATGTCTACTCTATCTTTAAATGTGTAGTTTTAGTGGACAAGCTACATGATGCTGTTGTATGAAATGGTAGTCTTGATTATAGTTTCATGTAACATCAGGTACTTGTCGCCTTTTTGCTGGTCTCAGAGGGGCCATCCTTTGACTCACTGACTGACTGACTTGTGATTTAGACTTGCTTAAGTCTCATCTTGTTCCAAAAGTTTGTGATTACCCGTATAATAAATGGGCTTAATCCAGATCCATTGTATAGGCTACATGAATGAAAAGTCTTCCAGTGAATAGCCATTCTGAATAGATTGAAGTATGGCTCTACAACCTGCTTAACCATAGGCTTGTCTTGTCTTGTTTCAAGATGTAGTACAGGTAAAGCTGAATTTGCAACTTTTCTCTACATTGCATTGTATTGTGAATCGATCGTAATGTTGTTGCAAGACGAGTCTAAAATTAGACATTTTTAAAATTATTTTGAATGGGTACATTTTCACCGAACAACATACGAAGACCACTCTGGTTATGCCCTGTAAAAGGGACTTTACTGGTCAAAATCACAGAGGCTACTCTGTACACGATAGACTGGTCACCATAGCAATGTGTGAATTCCAGATGTGAATTTTGAATCACTTTCCCTTTCTGTGCACCTTTTTTGCAGATAATCTTGCGCACGAGTTTTCTAAAGACACTTCAAGCTAAGTGGTGGTCACGCCACGTGTTTAGATTTGACACTCCAGACCTTCAAAACTAATAATGAGATCGATCCCTTACTCAGTGTCCTGGTAATTTCGTTTATTAGTCCCGTATGACTTACAAAAAAAGGAGGAATTAAAATAAAACTGTTATCAGTCGAAATGCATTGTTTAATGTCGTTGACACTATATGATCCAGGGTACATCTCAAGGCCCCTTTGAAATACAGGAAGTCCTTACTTGGTAGACATGCTTGGAACGGATGTATATTTTTGGATCATTTCCCGTTTCTGTCCATTCAATTATTTTTGCAGTGAGAAGTTTTCTAAAGACACTTCTGGTTATGTGGTGACACGCCACATATTTTGATATGTTTGGTATCTAGTCGGGAAATCGATCCCACGCTCAGAATCCTGGGTATTTCGTATATTTTCTCTTATGGCTTACAAAAAGGAGGAGGGAGGAACAAGGCGGCACCTATAAGCCCTAATCCCCCGAGTGGACCACATGCCTTGAACCTGTACGAAGATGCTAACCTGGATTTCGCAGAAATAAAATCCTTTATAGAAAGAAATAAAATCCTTTATAGAAAGTGTCGGACAACGCGTGTTAAAAACTAAAATGACACATGCGGGCAATTTAAAAACTAGGCTATTTCACTAGTTACAGTTATGTTCGACTTTAAAACCTAAGAACAATTCACTGTATAAGATCGGGTCGCTGAATTGGTTTCAAATGTTGACGGGTTATAGAGCGACGGTGCAGCGCGCCAATTATAGTTGCGCTCTGTTGCGTAACGTATTTTGTGTGTGTGATTTTAAACGCCCACTCCCTCTTCTTCGCTCTCCATTTCGTTTGAATTAAGCAACCCCCGCCAATGCGGGCATCAGTAACTATGTTCCAATCTCAGCTTCAAAGCTTGAGGTGAGACAGGTCCGGATGAAGTGTTTCGTAGGCCCTATAGGCACCAGTGTTCCGTAGGCCCTACACTGCGCCCGAGGCACCGGCACCAAATTCATGTTGATGCTATTATTAAAGTACAAAGCACTGTAAAAATTTAGCCAGGATAAAATGGTATAGGTCCTAGCTCTAAAAAGACTGTTGGCACCAAGGGCGTCAATCAGTGGCGTATCGGGGGGGGGGGGGGGGGGGGGGGCAGAGGAAGCACTCTGCCCCGGCGGATTTTTGTCACAACATTTTTTGTTCAGCAATTATTTCAATAAATGGTTAGAGAGTTCTGACATCAATCCCGAAAAAGAAAACCCGCTCAAAAACCATTACAATGCGCCGTGAAAATGGGTATATAATTTGCAGTATGCTTCCAGAGCTACGGCTACGTCTATTGTCAGTGCGTCCCCGCGTATTTTCATGGGCACAGACATAGACCTAGCTCTAGACAGTTGATTCGGATGCAGCCTTTAAATAATAAACCTTAGGTGTTTTAAAGATATATTTTAAAGATGATGTTAATGGAGCATGGTCCATAATGACACTCTCTGTTTATGAGTATTATGCAATGCACCAATGAAATCAAAACGCATTCGTGGTGCATCGTTGCTTTGGCTCGATGGGGAAATTCTAAAAATGATTCGACAGCGAGATCGTGCAAATAAAATCGCTAAGCGTTCAGGCTCATGGAATGCATACAAAAAGCTGCGAAACATGACTACTGAAAAACAATCCGCAACAAGAAAAGCGAATACTGTAAATCAACCATCGAGAAAAATAAAGGCAACTCATCGAATCCCTTGCCTCAAGATATTCCCAACCAACAAAAGTGCCCTTCTCGCAGTTATCAATGTGCCCCCTTGAGATGAAAACAAAAGTGCCCCTCAAACGCACATGTATGAAAGCATAACAATTATGATGGCGCTACAAATAGATTGTTTCCTCTCTTGTTATGGTTAACTACCCTTCAAAAACACAAGTGCCCCTCTCGCATTAACAAGATTGTGCACCTTCTCGAGATGGAAAACTACCCCTCGAGAGCACAAATACCCCTCTCTCAATAATAAAATTATGCCCCTCTCGAGACGGCAAATTAGCCATCAAAAACAATAGTGCATCTCACGATAACTTCTAGAGATGGAAAACTGCCCCTCGCAAGCACAATTTTATAAGTGCCCCGAACATTAAAATGTTGCCCCTCTTATGGAAACTGGCTATTAATAGTGCTCCTCCTCACGCAAATAAAATGGTCACTGAGCTGGCCGTCACAAGCTACAGTGCCCTCTCGCAAAAAAGTGTCTCTCTACATAACTAGTCAAATTCATGGGCGGACCCAGAGAGGCTACTGCCGGGGGCGGAGGGTGTGCGGTGTGCCGATGGCCCAGGGCGGATCAAAGGGAGGGTGCGGGGCAACGGGGCCACGCCTCCCCTCCCAAGAAAAAAAACCGAACCCAAAGTGTTTTTTTAGTGACCTCGCAAAAAAAGGCAGCCACTACGTACACCATCTTTTTTCACTAAAATGGGTAAAAGTGGTCAGAAATATTTTTGTCTCAGATCGCACCACAGAGCATCTAAAATCCAACCCCCACCAAAAAATTGTGTTCTGGATCCGCCATTGCGGAGGCTGAAGGGCTGTCACTTTCGCATTGACGGAAAGGTTCCTGGATAAGTGCCCCTTTTTTGGTGTTGCACCCCCCCCCTCCAGTTAAAAAAAACGTTCCGCCGCCCCTGAGTAACTGGACATAACAAATCCCTGAGCAACTGGACAAAGCAGTAATATGGGTTCTGCACGGACCACAAATCGAACACGGCGACCAAGAAGCATGCATGACACTTTCAAGGCGGAGCAAAGTAAACCTGGAAGAAGAGCTGCAAGCACCCGTTCTCCCATCAGAACACATCAAACTGAAATACTCACTCATCCCACGAGGACACAGCAAAGTCAGAGACAGGATAATCTGCAGTCTCTGTGCTTGATACCCAGGGCCGACGCAAATGGTGAAAACACGGCTCCCCACCCAGTTGAGAGTTCATCCCGGGATGCTTTCAAACGTTTCATCACTTGAAGTGCCGGGACGCACAACAGCAGCAGACCCAAAGCACCCAGAGTCAAGGTCCTTGATCAACCTCATCAGGCAGGGGGCGGGATACTAGGCCCGGCCCGCGACCCTTCAGCAGCTCCAGTGAGGTGTCACACACCTCACACCGTTCCCGCTGTGACATCCCCAGTGCCTTCCAGAGGCACCCTAGCGTGCAACGACAGGACGATACGAGGGCCGCACAGCCAAATCCAGGCTGTGCTGGGGGACGCTCCATGCCCCGGCCCGTACAGCCAAAGGTGCTTCATACATCGGCGTGGTGGCATGAACCGGGCCGCTACCCTAAGAAGCCTGATGATATCTACCCGCCTAGGAGACACCAGAAACGCCCCGTCAGTAGCGTTGCTGCTGTCTAATCCAACAACAGGCTCAGTGTGCTCGAATCAATGGGTGATAACGACATCTGAATGATGTACTATGCATTGCAATAACCAAAAACATGATCATGTGGATTTTACACACAAGTGTCTTGATTGTCTGTCAATCAAGTTGATTTTCTTACGTCATTTGCCTTCACAATATAATGTGAGCAATAATTCTATAGGATTTATAAATTCGAAAAACACTGACACATGTGCTTGTATGTTGTTTGGAACACTAAACAAAATATGGATGTTTTTCTATAAAGTTCTGTTTTCAACCAGTTAGATATTTTGAGAATCAAAATAAGGTTTTGTAGGACCCTCCAAGCTGTAATGTGTTGTTTTAAAGTTTTATATTGCTTGGAGTTGAAGAGGTGATTGTACACAAGCTTCCAAATAGTTCATGCAGTAAAAAGTGGAAAGTGATGTATATTCAGGAAACAGTTATTTTGCCTTTGAATGCTTCTTTATTGTCATACATGTATAGCACGCACATTTTACCTAGAATGCGTTTGAAATATGTCTCAAGACATTGTATAATGCAACTGAAATATGATTGTTCATTGATATTTAAGTTCAATGGATTGTCAAAGTGCTTCCTTAGTCCATTTTCATGAGTTGGTTGTAATCTACCAGAACATTTGCGATAGAATGATACTGAAATGTGCACCAACTGGACAACAGTTGACATCCTGTGTTATGGGCTCCGTGCACAAGTACCCCCTCAACGGTAAGAAAAGGAGAGTTGGGGAGACCACTGGGACAGACACTCCAACGCATTGCTGACGACGCCCGGCGCACACGCGAAGACGCTATGGCTTTGTGAACGTCAACTTCATAATGTTATATATAGCTGCGTGTACTTCGCAAACGTACATTACGCGTTCGCGGTGTGTCCCGTCATCGGGGCTCTAGCAAGTGGTCAAAAAGCGCCCTCTCGGTTTGCGCACGGAGCCCATACCAGTCACCATGTACAACAAAAGTTTGCTTGCTAGCACAAGCATTGCAGTTTCTGAGCAACATACATATATGAATCACATTGTAGGATCATATTCCTTCAATTAGTTAAACATCATGCAAATTTAGTCAATAATGACGCAGTAAATAAACACGCATAGCATTCTGTCTAAATCTAGCTATATAAGCAAAAATATCTATGGGCGTGGTTCAAAGTCAATAACTCGGGGAAGGAAAAGTCGAAAAAATTATTTTTGGACATTTGTGACCATTTGTAAGGTTAAGCAATCCGGACTGAATTCCCCCACCGCATCAAACCACGCACACAGATTCAATCCTGTAAGAATGATATTGTAGTTATAGTAAATCGGTGGAAAATTGTCATCAGAATCTAGCACTTTCTTAACTGAAATATACCGGCTACTGTGTACAAAGCTGTATATGGTATTCAACTTTAACTTTATACATCAAGTGTAACTTGTTTCAACTTTATTAATGAAAACGGTGATTTCGTGTTTCTATATTGATTAAATTGCGAAATTTTGATGGGCATATCTTGATTGTAGAGGATTGTGAATTCTTATGAAAACACTATTTTCTGCCATATCGGTAAACATTTGAAATGTTTTAGATTTAAAACGTATTGAACCAGGCCAAATGTGTGTAATAAAGTGTGTGAAGTCATTAATTGACAATTATGTCCACATTCCATAAAGTAGTGTGCGTATAAACTGCCCAATTTAACAGATTGAAAATACATACTATGCATTTTAATGTGATACATTCTAACGGATTTAAAATATCAATAAGTATATGCAATTGTATACGATATATTTTTCACACGATAACATGCATACTTGAGGATGATTTCTTCTATTATGAGCTCATAATAATATTGTTACCTCCACTTTTTCCAGTATCACACTTGTGTCAAAGTAGAACTTACTGCATATATATTGAATTGAAACCTACACTTTTGAATGTTGAATTTCATGCAGTCATTGAATAAACTCCGCTTCGAGAAAGCCATATTATAATGCTCCTGAAACTCATCATTTTTTTCATTCATTTATTGGACGTGCTTGAATGTTTTACCTAAACTCCTCCTTCTGAAATAGGATAATGGACCAAAATGTGAGAATATTTCCTGTTCCCCCAGGGCGTCCTTTGAACTTCATCAGGTGAACTATTTTACTCAAGAGGCATGTCACCCCGTCCTTGCTCTATGGTGTCACTCACGGTAACAGTTTCCACGTCTTCTGAAAGAAACAGGAAATACTTGCAAATGTTACAACTCTGAAGAAACGCGTATATGGCTTTCATTGACAGCATTTTAATGTTTTTTTTTGGGGGGGGGGTAGAGCGCAAACATTTTGAAATTGTATAACCAAAATACCACTGTTTGGGATTCAAGTACCTATATAGGCTTGAAGCTATTAAAAAGTACTCTCAGAAGAAAAATGAAAGCTGCCGACAACTACATCGAAACTCATTGGGAAATCAACTGCAATTCGCTTCAATGGAAAGATAACTAATCTATTTGCTAATTGCACGTTATTGGAAATGTGTTACAAAAACGAGGCTACAGGGGTCAAATATAGACACTCTCGCCTTGTTACTACACGTAAGCTGTTATTAAGCAAAAAGCCATTCAGATGGCCAAAGATTGTCAGCCTTACTTTCAATTCAACCTAGCAAAAGGTGTTTTTTTAAAACAAACCCAGAGTTGTCAAACTGTCTCTATACAACCGAAGGTTCTAGCCTGACTCATATTCAGCCGATTCTGTGAATAAAGGGAATGAGTTCTCACCTTGGCGGCAGACCACACCGACATCCTGGGTGTGGTTGCATGCGACCTCCTCCCAGCAAAACGAGGGGCATTCGGAGATCTTAGTCTCCGACCCATCGCACGCGAGGCCGTCCATGTACACGGGGCCTACCCCTTGGCCGAAATGGGCGCCGGACTTCGCCTCCACTGCGCCCGAGAAGCCCAGCTGATGGCAGACCACCTCGGCATCCCTCACATCCCAGTCGGTATCGCAGAGGGTGCCCCAAGCGTTGTCTTGGTAAAGTTCGACGCGGCCATTGGTGTGGTTCGAGCCGCCGACCAACCGAATGATGTCTGTGGTTAAACATTGATTCTCGGGTTAGTCCAGGAAATTTGTGCTTGATGGGACGATATATTTTGCGGCATGACTTGCATTTAGTAAATCAGCCTTAAACTGACGAAATGAATGACACGGGAAACCATTTCCAGGAAGAATTGCCACGAAATTACATTAAAAAAAATGACAATATAAACTGCGTCGACAAATTGCTAAAAACTACGCAGGATATTTTTTCTACTCGGAACGAAACCCTCTTGTCGATCTTTGATGTTACCAATCATAATGCAACACACCAGCTGTGTTACGAAAAACTACATTTTTTTCTGTTCCTGTTACATCTGACATCCATGATTTTGTAATTTTGGATTCATTCCTTATATAAATTGTACTATTCCTCAAAGATTGATCATGTGAAGAAACGACATATCCAACCAGAAAAAAATAGTTGGAGGTGTTTTTAATGACAATCACGTGACGAATTACAAAGTTCGGAGGTAACAGGGACAGGAATAATGCCACACTTAAATGTATTGAATGACCTATGTAGAAACTGGCAGGCATGTTCTGATGAGGAGGGCGTTGTTCGTGCACAAAATCTAGAACCCCCAATATAGGCCTATACAGGGTGAGTCAAAACAATAACGAAACCCAAATGGCAGGACCAATTTTTGAATGAAGTTTTGCCTGTAGCACTTCCAAATGTAGGCTATGAAAGCCCAGTAATTAAGCTTTCTTTTAGTGCAAGAATCATTCAAATCACTTGTCCTTTTTAAGTACGGACATTTGAACAAAAACACCGTTTTAAAGTATTTAAAGTAAAGTCCATTGATCACAAAAAAGTAAGTGTTCTTTCAGCAAAACGAAAGCAATTCTCGTAGGGATGCATGTGAATTGTTTTCGTTTTGCTGAAAGAACCCTTGAACACAAACGGTGTTTGTGTTCAAAATTTCGTAACTTGAAAAGTACATGAGTTATTGGAATGATTCTTGCATTAAAAGAAAAAGATCATTGATTGGGCTCTCGTATCCTAGATTTTGAAAGTGCTGCAGGCAACACTCCATTCAAAAATGGGTCCTGTCATTTGGGTTTCCTTTTTTCACTCACCGTGTATAGCTTTCATTTCTAAGCACACAAACAAATAGGGGAAGACGACTGCAACTTTTGTAAAATCCTTCAGGTAGTGTGGAAATTCGTATAAGGACTCGTGTGAGTGCACACTTAAATGAAAATCTCCTTACTGGGTTTGCATGTCACTCCGGCTACGTGTGAGCTGTTACACTGCTGGATGCTGCTACAGACAAACGGGCAGTCGACCAGGCGCCTCTCAGACCCTTTGCAGGAAACTCGGTTCATCACGATGGGTACTTCCTCCTCACTCTCCTCCAAGGACACGCTGGTGGCTTCCTCTGCTTCTAAGAAGCCGAGCTGATGACACACGATGCTGGCCTCTTTCATGTCCCAGCCGTTGTCGCATATCGCACCCCAAGCATCGTCATGGTAGATTTCGACTCGACCGGAGCGTTTCCCATCACCGTCCACGAGGCGAAGCATGCTGTCCAAGTCTTATCGGGAGTAAGAAAGCAATTGTCAATGTGCACATAGGATTATACTTCAGGTGGTTGTGGTGGTTGTGTCTGTTGCTTCTGTTAACAACAGACCAGTGAGAGTCATTGTTGATGCACTATTCAGAATCACTCATCAGCCCTTACAATCGCTTTGATTGAACCATTTTGTAATACCAAGGATCAACCTTTCCCCTGACCTCAATCCAAAAAGTTAAAAGGGCACAGAACTCAAACGATGCTCAACTTAATGGATTTTTGAAGAAATGTGTACTGTAGACCTTATGCGGTGCGGGTATCTCAGCGGGTGTTTGTTGTTTGAATTTAGAAACAATGAATGTACATACACAACCACTGCCCTTTAACTCCGCCTTTACGCATAAGGTCGATAAGGCTTCTTTGACTTTTAATTTCAGATAAAACAAATATAATTAACCAGAAACGTTTAGTCTTTAACAATGGAATTTAAAATTCAGTAAATATCTCTTGTATACACACAAGTTTAAAACACTGTAAGTTGTGACGGATCATAACGGATGATGTAATTTCCTTTGTTTCTATCATCAGAATTGATTTTATGAGAATGGTTGTGCTTTTGGAATACGAAGGTGCTTATAGGCCAGCACCATAAATGGATGCAAGCGCGGTTTCATTTTAAGAAGTGTTTTGTTATGCTTCGTTTTATTTGTTATCTATTTTTAATTTTTTTGAGGGTACAGAAGACGGATATTGCCACTCAATAAGTCTGAATATATTTTTTTGTACGTGTGAAAAAAAAAATTGCACGCTGATTTGTAACCAAATCTTGTATTGATTCGTGTTTGGGTTATAATTAGACTTTCAACACAAACAGACAACTATTATTTTCAAAAAATTATATATTACATGTCAAACGTCAAAGGTTCACAATTTCCCCATCAGATTCAATTTTGTTCGGGACATAATGATGTCTTACATCAAGAATCACTCTCCAAATCATATTTTAATCTGAATAAGGGGAAAAACTGCTATGCTGAATGCGTGTAAATGAAACCGCAAGATAATAAGTGGCAGCCGTCATTTAATAAGTGGCGGCCGCAAGATAATAAGTGGCGGCCGCCACATACTAAGTGGCAGCCGCTGTACAATTTTTTTTTCACACGTACAAAAAAATATATTCAGACTTATTGAGTGGCACTATCCGTCTACCGTATGAGGGGTATTTTTTTGTACATGAAAGAATTTTTTCATAACGCATGAGCTGATTTCATGATTCATTCACAATTGAACGAACACACTTGACTGGAAAAGCTTCCAAGCATCTTCTTATCATCATTCACACAAATTAGTGACACAACAAAAGTCGGAAATTACCTCGGCATCCTAGCACTTCCAAATTTAAATAACACTCGCTACTACTCCAGGTGGCTGGATATATGCGGATGAATCTGGTCATCAGTGTCTCAGGGAAGGTGACAGTTACTGCTTCACCTGATCCATTGTTTCCCTCCAACTGAAACAAGAAATCAAATCATCAAAAGATCATAACAATATTTTCAAATTGTATCGAAAGTATTCGTTGTCTAGTTTACAATATGCCAGTACCGTGTATATAGGCGTGAAAACTGAAAGTAAACTAAGGTTGAAGATAGTTGCCTGGGGCTGTCTTGAATTGAACAGATAATGGGGGTGGTGGGGGGGGGGGGGGGGTTGAGGTACCATCCTCTGATGGAGGCGCTGTTCAAACCGGACGATCATACACAATATCGGACAATAGATGGCGTTTTCAGGGTGACACATGCGCAAAATTTCAAGTACAAAAAAGGCACTTTATCTTTATTTTTAAAAGGGCACTTTTTAATCTTTATTTAAAGGCACTTGTTAAAAAAGGCACTCTTTTTAAAAATATTTGCGGGGGGGGGGGTAGGGTAACACTAGTGAAAACAGGGCACTTGAATTGAATAGGGCAGTCTTTACAAAATATGGGGGGGGGGCCGCAATACCACCTTACCCCCCACCTATGATACTTATTGCCATTTCAATTATTCAGTTAGGCCCTATTGGATAGCGTCAGACTAATCACCGAACAAATACTTACAGCCGATGGCTACGAGGAACCGCGTTGAACCAACAAACTGACAACATTAAAGTTACCCGCGGCGTCAAAATCGAGTCATGAAGTACTGCCAGAAAGTAAATTGCTGACTAGGCTGAAAGTACCCACGATTGTCGAAGCTATTAGGGGTCCATTGGAATGCTTACTCATTAAGTTGGTATCGAAAAAAAAAACCCTCCCTCATAGATCCATCCTATCACTGTCGCCTACTTACCTCAATGGTTTGCCCGTCCGTGTCGGTTAAGCTCTGCCAGTCATCCGACTCACCAGTCATACTATACCGTACCGTGAAGGTTCTGATATAGTGGTTGCCACCTGAATGTCCCGTCACGACGACGCCAGTGACGCCAGTGTAGGCACCCAAATCCACCTGGATCCAGTCATCAGTCCCACATGGAATACTTGGAAGCCACCACCCTCCTGCAGAGAATATAATATAGGTTCATACACGGACAAGAATTGCATGACTTTATATGCAGGCCGCGCTGCAAATATTACTGGTGGTGAAGACTTATTGGATTGTTAAAATAACTTGGTTTATGCATAAATGGAATGGGTTAATTTGGTTTTCGTTTTCAACAATACTTTATTGTCGAATGATTTAATGAATCAACATTCGTGTTTCCACCTTTCGGATTTTCATATGAAACGTGTTATGAAAATGAAAAGGGAACCTACTCTTGGCTCCGTGCAGCTTCGGGCTCGACTAGGCCCCTGCTTGCGAAAATGTCTTTCTATAGCATTTCTATAGTCCTTATGCATTGCGCGCGTTTCAGAGGTTGTTCTTTTTTATTATAATTTGGTAAAATGAATGCGCAAAAGGTTTACCCATGTTAATCCCAGCGATGGAAATTCACTGCCCTCTGACCCCGCCTTAACGCATGAGGTATATTGTGCACGCGGCACTGGCAAAATTTTCCCTTTTGGAAACTCGTGTAGCGCCCTCTACAGTCCAGCGTGGCTTTGAAATCAGACTCACCGGAATTCGGACGAGCCTTGGTTGGGGCATAGGAAGAGCTGTGGCTGGATGCAGCGGTGATCCCGGTATCCGGGATCTCACCACTGGCCATACCCAATGGCCCGGCGGTACATGGTAATCCTGGATAACAGATACAAATCTTTGTTCAAGTACTTATATCTGGAATATAGGGCATATTAATTGGGATTAACGTCTGTATAAATGCCCCTGAGCATGTCAGCATGAAATCTGGAAATCCCTGCCTGACCAAACAGAGGAAACATGAAGAAATGTCTGGTTTTAGATGGACGGGAAAAGTCTTTTCTTTAATTTCATAATGTTTTTTTTTAATGCTGGATTTATATATAAATATATTTTTACTTTGTACTTGTTTTTTAATGTTCCCCATTCCCTTTTTTTCTGTTGCTGTTTTAATCAGAAATGTCTTGTTTTAGCATGTTTTTAGTACCCGGTAGTAATGATAATGATTAATATCTTATGTCGTGTTTTGTACCTTTTAATTTACAATTTAAAGATGTATTGATAGTATGTTTACTATTTTTAACTACAATACCTGTTGTAAATTCGATTTTTTTTTAGCCTGCGGGCTGCTTTTAATTCAAATAAATAAGCCATAATATATATGTTTAAAATATAACTTCGTTTGCAGTTGCTGATCTGCTCATGTCTTGAGACAGATGATCATTGATGGGTATTAACGAGCGTCATGTATTTACCTGAATTAAGAGGCCTTGGAACAACTGCTTCTTCTTCCAGAGGATGAGCTGAATGCACTCCTAAACAGAATAAAAACAGAATAAAAACAATTAGCACTGATGTTTCATATTCTCCTGAATTCACATTGGCAATGAATTTCTGGTAAGACATTAAATATTTTATTATATACAGTCCCGGATTATCCAATAGGCACAGTAGGCACTGTGCCTAGGGCCTACGAAAAAATCGGGGGCCTACGAAAAAATCGATCGCGGGCATACGAAAATACCGTACCAATACAGGAATTTGTATCCTTGTAGAGACATCTCTTTGTTCAGTGTGCCATCAAACACCCACATACCCTAGCTCGTTTGTTTATGGTGTAAATCGAGGATTTTCTATTTCCTTTTCCCTTTTCCTTTGTTTATACTAACTTTTTTGCAACAGCTCTCATTGGTTTTGTACACGTTTTCTAATCGAGGTCGTCCTCGATTTGGTTCCCGTTCTCAATTCACCGATGATGTTGCACGTGTGTGTCCTCGATTTACACCATAAACAAACGCACCCACACACCAACATTAGCAGCTCAAGCCCACAGCGCATTTCACACCCGCCGTGGGAAAAGGTATTGAGACACGGGGGATTTTTGTTCTCTTCGGGTGCAAGCAAAATAAAAGTGATATGGTTCTGTTCACGAAATTTTCGATTAATCTGTGATCCAATTTTGGAAGGGAACAGAGTTACACAAAAATGAAGGTCGATATGCCCCATCTCATTAAATTTAAATTAATTTAGATGGTCTCCACTCTATTGGCACACACCAACTCTATATACAAAAGGTTTAACTCAAACAATGTTTATATAAACCTCATTCATTACCTTACCTAACATGCGACGCCTTTGTAGAAAGAATTGATAGCTTTTGGTAACGGTTGACAAATTAAGGCTTTGTCAACAAAGGCTTTGTCGACTGATAATTCTTAAGAACCAAACCACATTATAGGTTTTTCTATGCAATTTACACCTTGCTAATTCCGTTATGCAAAACTTCCATTCAAATTCGCATATATAAAAGCAAGCGTTTTCACACCTGATTCAATTAAAGATGCATACACCATGCTCTTCAGGAAATATCTTTAAATTTGAATGTTTTGGTTCATCCTACTTTAATCTAATTTTGAGCGTCTGCAACCCTCTGAAAAAGGGATTTTATTTTGTGCACAAATAACCCGCCCTGCTGTTGTCTGGCAGCCAACAATTTAAATTTATAAAGAAAAAGGTCAATATCTACACGTTGATGGATTTTCTTTGTTCAATGTCTCACTGACAAGTGAAAAACTTTAATATTTCTAGGAAAATAACAAATGGAAAAAGAAATCTACTCATCGAAGTAAAACTTGAAAATAGCACGGGGAATACATCTTTAAACGGAAGTTATAATTATGGTGGCCCTGAAGGGACATCACACATCAAGATTTCTGCGCAGATTTCTAGTTCTGCGATGTCGCACATTTTATCGCAGAAATCTGCGCAGATTTCTGCGATGTCGCACATTTTATCGCACATTTCTGCCATATCGCACATTTTATCGCAAATTTCTGCGCAGATTTCTGCAATATCGCACATTTTATCGCACATTTCTGCGCCGATTTCTGCAATGTAGCACATTTTATTGCAGAAATTTGCGCCGATTTCTGCGATGTCGCACATTTTATCACACATTTCTGCGCAGATTTCTGCGATGTCGCACATTTTATCGCAGAAATCTGCGCAGAAATGTGCAATGACGCACATTTTATCGCACATTTTCTGTGCAGATTTCTGCGATGTCGCACATTTTTATCGCACATTTCTGCGATGTCGCGCCAATCGAAAGTCTCCGTAAAATGACGTCACCGACACTCTTCGTTGGTCGGGCCAAGCAGGCTTTATATCATGAATATTTATATCTGGGAATATTTGGAATGTCATTGGTAGACGAATTGGTCAAAGTTCAGAATGTTTCTTATTCAAAGGTTTGTTATTTACCCCAATTTCTATATAAATATCAGCTCATGAATCTTAAATTACTGAAAACGGCGTCCCGCAAAACTGGTGTCCGACTATCCGACCGAGCTGATTATCGCGGTGTGCGGTCATGTGACAAATTTGTCACATTAAAAGGTGTTTTTCTCCAAATAAGAGGTTTCCCCGATGTAAGGCCCACATCAACTTTGTTTTGGAGATACGTGCTGCATATGTTTTCGGTTTAAAGGTAAGGCAAGCGCTAGATTTGTTGATATTTAGGTGCAAAAAGTGACGTATTTTCGTGTGTGCGCGGAATGACAAACAGTCGAGTTGGTTGTAAAGCGTACATGGTACGCGCATGTGCAGTACGCATAGCCAAAGGGCATGATGGTTTAGAGACAACTCGACCGTTTGCGTGTTCATGTATTTGTACGGGCAAGCGTGCGGATCTAACCCGTATGTGCGTTCGTGCATATGTGGACGAAGATCTTCCATTGGCGGGATGTACATATATGACATGTCGTGTATTGTGCTACAACTTTGTTATACACGGGAAAGATTTCCATACATAAATTACATCAACTGGGCCTAAATTGGAAGGGACAAAAAATGCAATTTGCATGATTCAATAAAAAATTGATAAAAACAATACGAATAGGTCATGACAACAGAGAGAAAACAATGCTATAAAAATAAACATTTCAATTTGATTCTGACAGTAATAAACAGGATAAAAGTACATGTATTTAACATGTCGGACTAATCTTTTTAATTGTACATGCCACCTTTCGTGTTCGCAGAACTTATTCTGGCATGTCTGACGTTGAATTTATTTTCAGGCTTTGCATATTAATTCAGTAATGCTTAGCTAAATGCCAAATCCATTTTCATGTAAACACATTAGTGCCTCAGCTTCATGGGGAATGTAAAAATTGGCAATTCTAAATTGAGGTGTTTTGTTTCTGTGTGATCCTGTTCCATACAAATGGATCTTTTTTTTCTGGATCACCAAACTTCCCAAATTTTTTCAGCCACTTTAGAATTTGCTCGGGCCTAATAATATTGTGCAGTGTGTCCCCCCCCCCCCTGATAAAGCAATATAAATATTGTTAAATGGTGTCATGATACATTATGTACATGTGACATGCACCACTGCTTTAGTGTTGGCGGTACATGTAGAACTTTGAATGTATGGCTACATTTCTCCCATGCCGCACCCCCACCTCCACCCCCTAATAAAAGCAATTGTACATGTGATCCTGTTTTCTGAAAAAAAAACATTTTGTAGTGATTTTTCAGGAAGTTTGCAGTATCATTCTCCCAGTGGCGTAGCCACGGGGGGGGGGGGGGGCTGTATGAAACCTTGTCGCCCCCCAGTCGCCCCCTCCCCCCCCCCCCACTGAGATTTTGAGTTTCCAAAAAAATTATCATTGATCTACATGACGCCCCCCCCCCATGAAATGTTCCAGCCCCCCAGCGCCCCCCACTGAAAAATTCCTTGCTACTCCACTGCATTCTCCTGACAAGAGGGTTTCTTGTATCTTCTGGAGCTCTGGTGAGATGGTGGTGTGATGAGCCATTGACTCGTCGTGATGATATGAGCCGTAGCGTACAGTGGAAGTGAATATTTCATCCCACGTTTGTGCATGGAGGATCAGGATTACACAGACATGAGCATGTGTTTGGTGTATTTTTGGTAACTGAATGTGTGCAGAACTGTGTGATGCCATGTGCACTGCTAGATTTGAACAATCCGTGCACCGCCTTGATCCGACACATTATAACTTCTATTGTCTGCTTGCCAAGGAATCGCTCTGGAATTTAGGCTCAGGATTCACACGTCACACATGATCACTCGCGATGGACTGGTTCTCGCTCCCATCATATCGGACATGTTTACATTTTAACGCCCATTTACATGTATGGCCATTGATTGGATCTCCTCTGCACATGTGCAGTAAAATGATTTACATTCTTCTTTCTCGTGCATGGCTATAGACCGCTTGCAGATGCGTTCGATAATCGACGCGCAAAGGCGCGCGACGCCATGTTGTGGGACAGGCGTATATCTATCCATGCACATTTTGTCCCATAACATGGCGTCGCGCACCTTCGCGCGTCAATTATCGATCGCGTCTGCAAGCGGTCTATAGCAAAACAAGTACATGAACCATAAACAGTAGGCAAAATGGTCATATACCGGTATCTACTAAAACTGCATTAGTGACAACATTGTTGCCATTTTGAATGGGCTGGATCCATGCTTACATTATCATTGTGATTTTGTACATTTTGAAAATTATTGTGACCTAGGCTAATTTGTGTACAACGGTAGGAAATCCTCCAGGACTACTGCGAATGAGTTAACACTCTTAAGTGCCAAAATAATGAATTGAAATAGAACTGGATATTACCTTTTTACTGAAAATCAACTAATTGTTGACACTACTAAAATGCTATTATTAAATTAGATATTTTTATCAGTGCTTTTTTTAAGTAAGTAAATAGGCTACTAATAACAAGTTTTAAGTTGGCCTGCTTTTCCAAACTTTAAAACAAATGAAACTTTTACGTGTTTGTGGATGTTGATTGTTTTTTAGCTGTACTTGGACCAATGAGAGACCAATGGATTTCACAAAATTGGCCGCCAAATTAAATAATGAAATAAAGTAAAATATGAATATTACCCTGCCAGTTTTAAATCTAATATTCAATTGAAGACTGCCTCTGCATGTGCCACATGCAATGATTGGCTGCAGCTCTACTATCTCTGGGGGAATGCGGCAACATGCTGTGTGATGTCATGTGGCCATAGATTTCAGCAACCTTGCTGGTTACTCTTGCTTCTTGGAAGAATCTGGACAGAAGTGTTGTGCTGACCCGACTCGAAACTGTAACTGACCCAACCAAAAACCAACTTTGTGTTTGGTCGGGTCGGTTTGTCCGTCATTTCAGTTGGGTTGGTGGTCAGATTTGTGTTTGAAAATTTGCGGATCGGGTCGGATAGGGTCAATTCAAAACTCGAAATAAACGGGGACAAAAGATGGAAACAGTTTGGAAATTAACACAGCGCAGGATTTGGATTATATCTATTATGTTTTGCATCGGTTTGGCCTATAGTGGACCCGACCCGAAGCAAAACACGACTGGACAGGGGAGGTTTTCAATGTTTGGATGAAGTTAATCTGGGACTCTTGTGGAAATGCAGGACTGCATTTGCTCGGGTTTTCCTAATAGCCCAAACAGTCCTGAATCCTGGAAGTTTGATACGATTCTCCCCCCCCCCCCGGGAGTTAGGGTTAATGAAAAATGTTTGAAGTGATAAGTGTTGCACCCGTAGTGGTTTTACTTC